CTATCTATCTATCTATCTATCTATCTATCTATCTATCTATCTATCTACCTACCTACCTACCTACCTATCTATCTATCTATCTATCCTATCTATCTTCTGGTTTTGTGAAATATCTGGACCACTAGCAGTGCAGCTATGCGACTCCGATGAGCTACAGGAATTCTGGTCCCAATTACCGCTGTTAAGTGAGGACTACATGCATTGCAAAATATGGAACTCTAGGACAAAAAAATAAAATTACACAATTGGAATTCATGACAATTGTTTGACAAGTAATACAATAAATGCAATGTTAGGATTTTTTTATTGCAATGACTACTATGCTATTTCTGTGTATGGGACAAAACACCTTTTTTTTCTGGTATGGATAGAAAAATGTGATGACCCAACAGTTTCTCAATTCATTAGAAAACCTACTTCCCTTCTGTGACATATAATCTTGCAGGAGATTTCAGATCTGATGCAACTTATTGCCACAGGTTTCATTTGTCACCTACAATATCACTGTAGGCTGCAGAAGTTGTGTACAAAAATAGTTTAAGACTATAAATATGAGCCAAGATTGAACAAATAATGCAAGAAAAGGTTTAAAGTCATTTTAGAATAGAATAGAATTCTTTATTGGCCCAGTGCGATTGGACGCACAGGAATTTGTCTTGGTGCAAATGCTCTCAGTGTACATAAAAGAAAAGATACATTCGTCAAGAGTCATCAGATACAACACTTAATAATAATCATAGAGTACAGTAAGCAAATAAATCATACTAGGAAACAGTCAATATAAATAGTAAGGATAGAAGCGACAGAAATACAAGTGGGAGGGGATAGGTGATAAGGAGTGATGAGAAGAGTAATAGTGATAGTAGTGCAGACTTTGTAAATAGTTGGACAGTGTTGAGGGAATTATTTGTTTAGCAGAGTGATGGCGTTTGGGAAAAAACTGTCCTTGTGTCTAGTTGTTTGTGCAGTGCTCTATAGCATCGTTTTGAGGGAAGGAGTTAAAAACGTTTATGTCTGGGATGTGAGGGGTCTGTAAATACTTTCACAGCCCTCTTTTTGACTTGTGCAGTATACGGTCCTCTATGGAAGGCAGGTCGGTAGCAATAGTTTTTTCTGCAGTCCTAGTTATTCTCTGAAGTCTGTGTCTGTCTTGTTGGGTTGCAGAACCAAACCAGACAGTGATAGAGGTGCAGATGACAGACTCGATAATTCCTCTGTAGAACTGGATCAGCAGCTCCTTGGGCAGTTAAAGCTTTCTGATTTGGCGCAGAAAGAACATTTTGGAGGAGGAAAAGCAATATATTATTTGGAAGGAACAAATTACACTGTGGATCCAATCAGGTTTCACGAAAGCCAAGATTCCCTCAAAATATGCCTGCAGAACCTTCAAGGTCAAAAAGAAACCCCACCCAGCATGAGTCATATCCTGCTTTAATAATTATCTTAATTATAACCGTTCAGACTTCACAGTTACAATTATTTAGGACAGTTGCAATGATATCAGAATGCAATTGTCAAACTATACTTGGTTTTGAATAAATTATCTTGGAATAGGTTTTTCCAGTTTTCAGGTGTATTTTGATAGTATTTTATTACCATTTGTTACAATCTATGATTATTATTCATAGAAAGTTGTCAGTTTAGCAAGAACCACAACAGAACAGCAGAATTGGAATGGATCATAGGTTTTCTACCGTGTTTCTCCAACAATACGGCCTCCCCCAATAGGAAGTCCCAGCATGTTTTATAGGCATAAAATCAAATTAAGCCCCTCCCCCCAAATTAAGGCCTATATTAAACATGCAAAATGGGGGGGAAATGGCGGGGGGGGCCTTGCCGTTAGGAAGTACTTTTGTTGCATACCCGGATATGGTGCAGCCTGCGTTGACTTCGGCGTTGGTGGGGCACTTCGTATCACGAGACCTTCTGCCACCATTGCTTTCCCTTCTCCCCATGCTGCCACGGCATTTAGAGCAATGCCGCGGCGTTTGGCGCAGCCCTGTGCGGCCAGCCAGGGCTCCTCCCTGCAACCGGGGCCCAGCGGAGACACTCGGCTTCAGGCGCTCCTGTCGCCACCTTCGCTTTGCCTTTGAAGGTAAAGACAATTATTTTAAAAACAATGCCCTACTACCAGTACGACAAAGCCGAGAGGGCGCCCAACCCCACATGGGGAGGCAAATCTCCCAGGGCCGCAGCACAGGATCAGCCCACCCCGGGAGAAGCGCCCAGCCACCATCCCTGCCTGGCGCCAGGCAGAGTGCGAAGAGCTTCGCCTGGGGTGCCCAGAGCACCTGACAGGCGGGCCCTCCTGCCTGGCGGCGGAGCTCTCGCCAAGGCAGCAAGTGCCTCCCTGCCGGGCCCTCCGCTCATCCTGCCAGGGCCGCGTCAGAGCCGTGCAGGCTGGGCCGAGCCAGGAAAGCGAGCCGCGAGTGCGTGCCTGCCTGCCAAGTGAAAGAGCCGGGCCGACCCGAGCTTGGCTTCCTTCCCA